TGCCTTTCCAGGTGCATTCAAACGGGTGGATTGCTGCAAAAACACACCCTGCGTACGACGCCAGAAACTTGACGCGAGCTACTTGCCAGTTTGCCCCAGGCCTATGGGCGACAACGTCACCCACCCAACATGCATCAAATTCGGGACACCTGGCTTTTCCAGAGGTCCAATGATCCCCTGGGCCCACGTGCTGCACTAGAAAATCACGAAAGCGTTTGCTCGGCCGCTTTGGGCCCACCAGGCCGATGGACATATCGAGCCAGGGGGCGTCTTTCAGGTTGTGGAGGCTCTGGGCGAGCACGTCTCGAATTCGCCGGCCCAACGGGCCAGGGCGTGCTAAGATCTCCGGTACCTGGTTAACAGTATTTCTAGTTCGCGCGCGCGGGGCGGCCCCTGGGGGTCCCCGGACGAAAAGTACCCCGGCAAGGTCCCGGCAAGGTCGGGTCAGGATGCCCCAAGGACGGGCCAAGAGGTCCCCAAGAAGCCTCCAAGACGGTCCAAGAGGGCCCCGAGACGGCCAAAGATCGCCCGAAGACGCCCAACAGAAGACAGCCCAAGAGGCCTCCAAGACGCCCCAAGGGCCTTCCAAGAGGCCTCCGAAGAGGGCCCCAAGAGGCCAAAATCGTTGATTTTCATTGTTTTTTCTATGTTTTTTGCGTTCTGGCTTTTTCGGCTTCCGGACGCTCCAAGACGGCCCAAGAGGCCCCCAAGACCGCTCCAAGACGGCCCACGAGGCTCCCAAGACGGCCCCCGGCCCAGGAGGGCCCCCAAGATGCCGCCCAAGACTCCCAAGACGGCCCACGAAGGACCCCCCCCCCAAGACGGCCCTGCCCCCAAGACGGCCCCAAGTGCAAGACCAAGAGGCCCCAAGACGGGCCCAAGAGGGGCTCAAGAGGGGAACCGAGAACTGAAAAATCGAGCCCTCCGCCCCAGAAGGCGCCCAGGAGGCCCCAAAAAGGCCCCAAGAGGCCCCCAAGAGGCCCCCAAGACGCCCCAAGAGGCGCCCAAGAGGCCCAAAAGAGGCCCCAAGAGGCCCCAAAACGGCCCCCAAGAGGCCCCAAAACTCGGCTAGCCCACAACGGTGCGACAATATGGGCCGGCGGAATGAGCGAAGCGATTAAATAACAGGGCTACAACTCTGCTGATGGTCGTGCCCCCATCGTAACACCTGCTTGTGCTTTCTTTCTAAAGCGATAGTGTTGGGGCTCCACCCCCAGCGCGAGATGTATTGGCTATGAGCATAATCGCATGGAATCCCACCAGCCTTCTGGGCGTGGGTGGTCTAGGAGTTTCCACTTCCACCCCTCCTTCTTGCCCTTTTGGGGAGAGGTTTACCCCTCCCCCTGCCCCCTCCCCATGGACCTGGACAAGGGGTTTCGCGAGTCGTCGGGGCGCCCAAAACGGCATCGGCGAGGATGGCAAAATCATTGGTTGCACGATGGTTTGGGCACCATTTTGGCCTCCTGCAAGGGGGTGCCCTAATTAAAGCTCCCCTCTTGTTTGATCGATCTCATCCAAGATGGCCCCACGAAGCGCCCAGGAGGCCCCAAGAGGTCCCAAAATGGCCCCAAGGTGGCCCAAAGCCCCCAAACGGCCCCCAGGAGGCACCCAAGAGACCCCCAAGAGGCCCCAATACCCCCTAGGGGCACCCAATATGCTCCAAGAGTCCTCGGCGAGAATGCCAAATCATTGATTGTACGAAGGTTTTAGCCACACGTTGGCTTCTTGGGGGGGGGAGCACTGATTAAGATGACCCCAAGAGTGCCTGGGAGAGCCCAAAATGACAAGATGGCTCAAGCTATCCCAAGATGTCTCATAATGGTTTCCTCTGCGTGCTGCCCGCTTCCCTGATCGAGGCAATTCCTCTGGGCATCGTTTCTGGATGGGCGAGTGGGGATTCGCGAAGCGTCAACCATTTTCAAAAAAGCCACTGGGCACCAAATGCACCCACAAAAGCTTGGATGAACAGGGCCGTTGTCTCAGCGACCCTGCCAGGTGAGACATGCAGCTTGGGCCCATGCCACAACATCTGAATCAACAGCGCCAGCAACTGAACTACTTTGCATGTTTGTTGATGCCGTCCTGTTGGCTGCGCACAATCTCGAAACTAATGGGCGAACACAAGATGATTCGAGAGAGCTTCGCTGCAGCTGCATTTCCATGATTCGGTTTTTCAACTCGACGTCGAGCGTTTTGCTGAAAACATCTCAACTCCTGTGATGCCCTTGCTTGATACCCTCCTAGGCCACTGGAACATAGAAAGATATGCCTCGACGTGCTTGGCCTTGATGCCACTGCTGCTGATGCCACGCATAGCACAATCTATGACAGCCTGCAGAATGCCTTGTAGGATGTTGTGGGCCCAGTCGAAACAGTTATGGGATGGAACGTCGACGATGTCTTTGAGCCAGGGATCTTTCAAAATATCGTACGGGCTGTAGTTCCATCCGAGGGCTCGCTGGTTTGCAGCGAAATCGCCGATGGACAGCGCTGGCGGCCTGCTCGATTCCAGGTCGCCCAACATACAAGCTATTGTGTATTTTGATTGCTGCGCGCACTGGCCCAATGAATAAACAGTTGAAATATCTTTCAGAAACTGACTTCCATCTAGCTCCCCAGCCGCTGCCCGTCTACTGTCAACAATGTTGAGGCGCTGGCAACACGGCTTGGTTCCGCCAGACCCCTTGCAACACCAAGTGGCGTGCAGCGCAGCCTCATCTCCAAGAAGAACGCCAAGCTCCGCTAAGATTATGATGCTTGTCCCGTCAGGCAAGTCAACGCTGCGCCCAGAAAAACGAATGTCATGTCCATGTGGCTGAAACGATCTCTGTAGAATTTTGCCGACTACTTGAGCCATGCCAGATGTGCATGATTCCGCGCCAATTGAGCGAACTGCTGCTATGCACAACCAAAAATCTGCCTTGGCTAAAACGGCTGGTCCCATCTGGACAAGCGCAAAGTAAATGCATTCCAGTGCGCGTTTGTTGCATTGCTTCATGTTGTTCCCTGGCTTAGCTTCATCTGAATATAGAATGCATTGCCACGGTCGCTCAACAGACGATGGTGATTTCTCGTGAGATTGTCGCAACATCGTGGCGTAACGGTCGCACCCTGCAGCTGTATATATCAACGGCAGCGGGCCCACAATATCCACGGCCACTGCCCCACCAGCGGCGAGTTCTAATTCAATCTGGCAGGGGGCCAAGAACATGCTGACGCGAACCTAACGCCAGCGGAACACCCCGACCCGCGGAGAAACGTAATTACATGGCTTTGGTTGGGGCCATAGGTGTTTGGGTCCGCGTCGGCACGGCTTCTGCAGTTGGTGGAACCCTGGGGCCATGCTCTCTCTCTCTCTCCTCTCTCTCTTTCTCTCTCTCTTTCTCTCTCTCTATCTCTCTCTATGTATATATAAATATAAAAATGTGTATACACGCATGTATATATATATATATACATACATACAAACATATATATATATATATATGTATGTATGTATATATATATATGTTGCGCGTTGCAACCAGTTTGTGGTTTTCGGCCATCGGTGCCCAACCAACTGCATTCACCGAGCGTTCAAGGTCACCCGCGGCCGCCTGGATCAGCAGCGGCCCATGCGGCGCGATGATATCGTTCTGTAGGTTCCGAGCTGCCCTGATGTCTGCAGTAGAACAAGCGTCTGGGAGCTCACCATTCCTAGCCTTGCCAATGAGCGCACCCAACGCTGATTGCGACACGTGGGGCAAACTTGCACGAGCATCAGCTATCTTGCGAAGCTTTGCATGGCGCTCCATGAAACCAAAACGGCTGCGGGAGTTAAGGGGTGGAAGTTTGAATGGGGATGGGGGCGGGGAAACGGAAGAGGGGGGGGAGTCCGATATGGCCCCATAGGGCAACATAAAGCCCACGCAGGCACCTCGCAAGACCCGCAAAGCGCCCGGCGAACAGCTTGGCATCCTTTGAAGCCACGCGTGGCCTTCGTAGGCTGATACAACGAGCCCCTGGGCCATCATGAGGCCTCCTGAGACTGCTCTTCGATGATTTTGGTATCGTTGTGTTGACAGTCTTGGACCCCCTGACTACCGCTTCCAGCATTCATGGTGCCTGTCGAAACCGCGTCGGTTTTTGGATAATGGACGCCATTAAAACGCTGATGTTCTGCAAGTCACTCCGAGTGGGCTTTTTTTTTGCGCGCAGGCACGTGGCAACTAGCCGCGGGGACGCGCCAAAGGGTAATCAAACCATAAAGGGGACATCGCCGCCCTACCCCCGCCGAAATCGTCATGCAATCTAAGTTACCTCATAATCTAAGGAGGCACATGGGAACCTCTTGGGCGCTCCCGGAGGCAAGGCAGAGGAGGGGGGGGGGCTACGGGAATGCCAAACTTCCTGCAGCCGTCTCGATGCATCGCTTCGTCTTGGGTGACGTGTCGGATGCATCTTGCGAGGGTTTGGGCCAACGTTTTGGCGTTTCGTTTGTGCGTAACAAAAAAGCAGCAGGTCCGTGGGCGTCTCTGGTACACATGAAGCGGGGGGTCTCTGGAGGCCTTCAGCTTCTCTCGAATTGTACGTGTATTCTCGGACACCTGCGATCGGGCATAGCTGAATCGCGCCACTCAACGCGCGCGCATTGCATCGTGTATGCCACACCTACTGTAGCGCATGTGACGCGCGAGCTATCTCGCACCAAACTCATCCCGAGCTGCACATCTCTTGAACGCGATGTATCCGTTAAACCATCGCGCTCAAGAGATGCGCATTGGGTACATATAACTTGTCTCCACTTTCGAGGGTCAACACAGAACCTACCTCAATATTATCGTCGGCCTTCGGCCAGTCATGTCCAGCTTGGCTGCGTGAGCTTATGAGTTGCCGATCGCCTGCTCATCATCCTCATTGCCCTCCTCCTCAGTCTTTTCCTCGCCCTCCTCCTCCTCATCCTCCCCCGCCTCCTCCTTCTCGCTGTGCGCACGCAACATCTACTGCGCGCGACGATGGCGGCGGCGGTGCAGACGGTGGCTTCGCCAAGACGACATCCTCACTAGATTTCCCAGCGGCCCAAACGCTTCTGACAGATCTGAGTGTTAAACCCCTAGCACAATACATAGCATGATTCGCATGCGTGGTCGCACCCCGCATGCACATACGTGCACACCGCGACAGAGCCCCACATCGAATTGCAAATGCGCGGAGTGAGTGCAAAAGACTGCCTGCAGGCGCAGCGTTGGCGGCCACGCCGCCGTCGAGCGCCAGTGAACATCGATCAGGGACAGCGCAGCGTTGAAGGATACTCGCTTGTCGCCACCAAAAGGCATGCCCTTCTCGATCGTAACCGACACACTGTTAGGCCACACTCTCCATCCCTTCCTTGACGGCGCACACGAGATCTTACCGCCCTTGTAGATGACGATACCCTCGCCCGCCTCGGGCATCTTCGGCACGCTGGCAGACCAGCGGGTCGGGGGTGTACAAGCAGCAGGCCTCTTGAGCGGCACCTTCCCCGGCTGCTGCAACTTGCGCTTCTTGCCATTGTCCTCAGGGGCCGTGGCCGTGCCAGCCGCAAGTTCCTTAGCTGCTGTCGCTTTCGCTTTGGCATTTTCCAACAACGCCTTGTGCTCCTGCTCCATCTGCAGGACCTGCGTCTTGGCGTCACTATCAGCATTTTTTGGAGGTCGGCGACCTAGAGCTCCCATAGCGTCGAGGGGGTCCAGCGCAGCATCCACAGAGGCTGCTGCAGAGGGAAGCGGCGTAGCATGTGGTGGAGACTTGTTTTGCCCGTCTGCAGCTGCAGGAAAGTCATCGGTCGGAAGAGAGAGCGTCAGAACAGGCGCATCACGCTTCGTAGGCGCCAACCCCACTGAAACACCACCATCCGCAGTACCGTCTGCGGCACCAGCGCCGCCAGTAGGACCACTTGGCCCTGCAGGTGTAAAGAACTTGAGGCCGACGTTAGAAGATGACATAGGTGGTGCATCGCCAGCCGAACATAGATGAGCGCCCATCATGGCGATCTGCGCTGGGCTCAGACCGAGCGCCTGTGCAGACTGCAAAAATGCGCCCATGTTGGCCGCAAAGCTGGATGACGCAAGCCCGCCAACGTGCTGCGTAGGCGAAGTAATACTCGCAAGAGCTTGGCTCGGCGTAGGTGTCGTCTTGATCTTCTCGCGAATGCTCTTGTTCGCGTCCCTGCAGCTGGTGACCTCGCGAACAGACGCAAACGCTGGCAAATTGATGTCGACGGCCTGGTCAGCCGGGTCGGGGTACATAGCGCTCTTCACAACTGCTGGCAAGTCGTTCGGCGAGCCGGGCCACTGCTTGATGACGGGCAGCTCTGCGATGCCAGGGTCGAGCTCGACGCCATCAAACGATTGCATCAACTTGTGAACTTCCCTGTAGAGAAGCACCTCGTCAACTGGCTGCTCGCACACAGCAGCGGCAAGCATCGCAACGATGTCTGCGCACAGAGGAGGTGAAGGTATGCAGAGCCCACCACGAGAGAGCCGATGCACGGCTCGCGACACCTTCTCAACTGCGTTGAAGGGCGTGTCAGGCCAGCAGAAAACTTCCCAGTCGGACTTGGTGAAATATTTCAGCACTGCATGTGATTTCTTCTTCCACATCTGCTTCTCCGTAGGTGCAAGTTTGGGCGCCGTTCGTGAGCACAACAACGCCTCTTCGATGGCCTCTGAAATCTTCAACTGCAGCGTCGTGTCGAAGTGCGTCTCGCTGACGCGCTCAAACAGCGCAGTCGCAGACTCACTGTCGAGCGGTTCAGCCAGCTGTTTGATCATCTCACACAGTGAGTTCGTCAGAGAAACCTTGAGCTCATCAATGCGATCTGCAGGCGCATGAAGCCTCTGCTGTGCAGCAATGAGCTTGCCACTGCCAGTGGTCTCAGCTGTGAGCTTCGAAACAGATGGCATTGTGTGGTATCGTGACCGAAGTGCGTATTACCAACTGCCGCATACTGTCTGAGCCAAAATGGCTACGGAAATCTGTTAACTATGGTGTACTGGCCACGCTCACCAGCATCGCATGGTACACGCGTTCACCACATATGACACACAGATTGCACTCATGACAGCGTGTTTTGGTACACGCCACCAGAGATTCCAACTCGACCATGTTTTTCGATTCGAGAAAGGTTGGTCGACACCAACCGACCAACCTTTTCGATTCGAGAAAGGTTGGTCGACACTGATCGACCAACGTTTTCGATTCGAGAAAGGTTGGTCGATCCGCGTCGACCAACCTTTCCGAAATCTGAATACCCGGTCGAAATCAACATATCAGCCTTAGTGAGTCTAAAGAGCATTTGAGAGATGTCAACCCTAAGATTTGATCGGCAATCTACGCAATTATCATGTGTTTTCCCACGCCACACGGGTGGATATGGTTCGGCATTAGATGTGTGAGCCACAGTACTTGGTACACCGACTACTGGCAACCAGCGCCTCTGACACGCATATCGACCTATCTAGAACCGGAACCGGAACCGGAACCGGTGCGTCTGGGGGTCGTAATGCTCCGTCTTCAGGAACCACAGCCGGACCATTGGCAGTAGCTAGGCACGCTGCGCCCCGTAGGCGTCGGAGGCTCGGCGAATGCGGAGCCTGCGCGCCGCGCGACCGTGAGCGATATGGCTCGCGCGTTGGATGCCCGAGGCACGAGAATTAGGAGGGCCAGGTACCACATCGAACCGACCCTCGGCATCCTGGCACCCTATCTCCCGGATGTCCAACGACCAAATCTTCAGGAACTCTTTGTGCAATGCTGCGTCCTCGATGGTCCGCTGCCGTGGCGACATGCTTCCTCCAGTGGCAGTCCACGCGGCCAGCTGTCTCCGGCAGATCTGCAGATCCGTGATGCCCTCACTTCTTGAAGATCAAGAAGTATCCGCCCGCGCAACTCCAACTGCGCTTGGGCGTGAGATCGAACAATATGCCGCCTGGTGGAAAAACGCTTACCACCATCGGGGCTACAGTGAAGACAACAATTGGGATGATCATCTGGACAACTATCGGGACAACAATCGGGACAACCATCGGGACAACCATGAGGACAACCGCCAGGGCAACCATGAAGACAACCATTAGGGCAAAAGTCGGGGCAGCCATGAGGCGAGATTTGCCGCAGGCCACTGCATGCCCCGCGAGCATCGGTGCAACCGTCCAGCTTGAACCACTGCTTTGACTACCCCCCTGGCGCCTCTACCCAGCTGGAAATCATGAGCACCGCATCGACCTAAGGAGTCGCGGCGCCACCCGCAGCCCACGCGCGTCGCACGCATGCAAGCGCCTGAGGCCTTGGCCTCGATCGAAACGGCTATCACACAACTGCGATGACTAGTGGAGATCGGTGTGAACGCTTCGCTGCCTCAAGCTACAGCTTCCTCTTGCAATCCCAACTGCCCTCTGGGCGCAAGTGGTCTAAAGCGATCCTCCTTCCTTTCCGTGCTGGCGAGGTTTACCTCCCCCCCTCCCTGCGTCTCGAAGGGGGGGCCCGACCCATCGCAGATTCCAAGATAGCCCAATATAGTTGCAAGAGGGACCAAGATAGCCAACGATGGCCTCCGAGATAACCCAATATGCTCCAAGACGGCTCAAGATAACCCCCGACGTGCCTCCGAGAAGCCTCAAAACGATGCCAAAACGGTTTCGAGCGTCCTCTGAGACCTCCAGAAACCCCATCAAGAGGCCTAAATCCTTCAAATCCGCCGACCCTGTCGGCGTGTGTGAGGGGCTTCTCCGTTCGACTCGTCGTCTACGTCGTCTCCGTTCTCCCCCTCCCAGGGCTCTCCTCCTCAAGCGCGCTATCCAAAGCGAAATTAAACGACGTCGCAGTGGAGTCGAAGGGAAGCCCCTTCCCTTTGATCCCTTCCCCGCAGGGGGGGGGGAGGGCCCCGGGGCAGATACGACGCCCGCCGGGGCGCACTTTCCTCGAGCGGGCACGCACGGGATGCACTTCCTCCTCCTCCTGGTCCTCCTCCTCCTCCTCCTCCTCCTCCTCCCTCCTCCTCCTCCTCCTCCTCCTCCTCCTCCTCCTCCTGCTCCTCTCCTCCTCCTCCTCCTCCTCCTCCTCCTCCTCCTCCCGCAGAGGCGTCCCGGGAGCGGGCCCCGAGTCAAAATACCACCCCCCTAGGGCGCATTTTCCTCGAGCGGGCACGCCCGAGATGCACTTCTTCCTCTTCCGGGAGCACGTCCCAAGTCAGAATATCACACTCCCGGGGCGCACTTTCTTCGAGCGGGCACACAAAGGATGCACTTCCTCCTCCTCCTCCTCCTCCTCCTCCTCCTCCCTCCCCCTCCTCCTCCTCCTGTTCCTCCTCCTCCTCCTCCTCCTCCTGCTCCTCCTCCTCGTCGTCCTCCTCCTCCTCCTGCTCCTCCTCCTCTCCTCCTCCTCCTCCTCCTCCTCCTCCTCCTCCTCCTCCTCCTCCTCCTCCTCATCATCATCATCATCATCATCATCATCATCATCCTCCGCTTCCTCCCCCCACTCCTAGCCCTTTCGATCAGGGTCGGCGGCACCGGCCGTCAGGCCTCTCCAATACCCAACGAGAACCAATGTTTGTGTTTTCCCGCCTCCGATGTGCTCTTCAGGTCTCAGGATGGTCCCAATCCAGCTCAAGATAATCCAAAACAACTCCAAAGAAAAGGCTCCAACATGGCCCCAAAAGCGCCCAAGAGCGCTCAAAGAGCAGCCCAAGTGGACTCCAACGACGGCCCCAATCCCTGCGTTCGCATGCGCCCACCGCACCCATTTTGGCACACCCCTTACACGCTTCGAGGCCCCACAGGGAATTCCACCGACGGCCCAAACACACATTTCGCGGCCCCATAGGGAGCTCCACCGACGGCCGCAGTGGCTACGTTTGCGCGTGCCCACCGCAACCATGTTGGCACACCCCTCACACGCTTCGTGGCTCCATAGGGAGCCCCGACGGGCCCAATGGCTGCGTCCGCATGCGCCCACCGCACCTTTGCGACAACCCTCACACGGTTCATGGCCACACAGGGAGCTTCACCGGCGGCCCCACCAACTGCGTTCGCATGCTCCCACCGCACCCATGTTGGCACACCCCTCACACGCTTCATGGTCCTACAAGGAGCTCCCCCGGATGCGGTGCATACAACGACGGAACCCACAACTGCATATGTTTGGGTCGCTCGCCATGCTACCGTTCACGGTGTGTATCTAGTATGTGGGCAGCGTTGCGGCGTCGCCCTGCGTTTTGACAGCGCGCTGTCGCGGCGTGATTTAGCGGCGCGGTGTCTCGTTATGTGTTCGTCGTGTGAGGCTCGCTTTCCCGTGCTATTCTTCTAGCAATACGCTGCTTCGGTGCGTTTGTCCCATCTTGTCTGCGGCTGGACATTCGGCGTTTATCACGGTGTGCACATTCGGCGTGTATGTTACGCGTGTTTTGCGTTGTGTGTTTACGGTGTGTATCTACGGTGTGTATGTATGCTGCGTACTCACGGTGCGTGTTCACGGTCAGCATTTGCGGCGCATCTATACGGTGCGTGTGCACGATGTAACTTTACAGGTTGCGCATGGAATCAGAATTGCACTTTCGCGGTGCACTTGCCCGATGCGAATAGGGGGCGTGCGTTTTGCTTATGTGTTCGCGGTCCGCGGCGCGCTTTCCTAGCTTATTTCGCGCACGCGCGCTTTCCCAGCGTTCTGTTGTTCATTTCGCGTTCCGGTGCGTGCTTACGGAGTAGCTACGGTGTGTATTTAATGTGCGTATGATTGTGAATGTTCACTGTGCTCTCCACTCCATATTCGTGCAACTGTGCACCTACTACTGTGTATGTACAACCTCCGTGCTGTGTGATTACGGTTTACCGTTGGAAGGCATGTCCTTTTCAAAAGGAAGTTCTCGCCTGAACTGCGGGCCCATGTGGCGCTCGTCTTCCATGGGGCTGGTTCGCGCAGCGGAAAAGATTGCCCGTACTGTGACGAGGGGACTTGGGACAAGAAGTTGTACTGCCATATCTTGGCTGCATGCCGGGTTTACTCTGGTCTCTTCTCCTCCTCCTCCTCCTCAAACTCTCTTCCCCATGCATAACTCTTCCTCGTCGCAACACTTCACATATCGACACGGCGGGCTGGACGTTGTGCCTGCGACTTCCTCACCACTAATGACCCTGAAGTTTAAAATGCGCACACACATGAATGGCGGCCCGTTATGTCTTGCACCACAAGATAACATACAGAAAACGCCTGAGTGCCGCGCACATTCGCCGTAAACGCGTCCAGCCGGAACGACGATGGAGGGTGGCCCATTTCCAATCATGTGGATCTCGCCCTAGCGCCGTGTATAGTCGTCTTGAAAGTTCCCAGAACTACGAAGACAGACGTCGGCCCGCTTTCATGACGTGGCTCCCGCCTGAGCAGCAGTTACAAAGACAGAGTGCGGTTCCTTTCCGAAATAAGGCTCTCGCCTGAAACTTCCACTTCAAAAAATATTGCCTGGAGTTTCAAGTCTTGCGCCACATACGCGAACCGAGGGCTGCTCCTTGCACAAGCGGGGCTCTCGCTCGAGCCGTCCCCCGAAAGTATGGCCAGGAATGCAAAAATCGTGCAACAGCTGCACGGATGGAGGGCGGCCTCTCTTCAAACAGGGGCTCTCGCGGGACACCTCCTTGAGCAGAACGGTCGCCAAATGTCGCGTGCCTTACCGCTACGAAGATGCAGGGCAGCTCCTCCTCAAAACGGGACTCTCGCCCGAAAGAACGAATCCGTGGAGCGCTCGTCTTCCAAACGTACCCGTCGGTCGGAAGACGTGGGTAGACACATGAAGTAGGACGGCGTTGAAAGTAGATTGGGCTTTCACCCGCCAGGGAATACCACTCGACTCTTGAAGTATGAAGGCGCCTAAAAATGAATTGGGACTTGGGCGTCCAAAGATATCTACTTCCAACGACCGGCGGTTAGTTTGTGCTTCCAGTAGTGAAAGGGAAGTCCTCGGAGGACGTACGAGGAGGAGACTGAGGACGTGAGGGTGCACTTCAGCGTCTCTGATGAATCCTTGGCTTGCTCCAGTCTTTCTCCTGCTCCTCCTCCTCCTCCTGCTCTGCCTCCTCCTGCTCTGCTGCTCCTCCTCCTCCTCCTCCTCCTCCTGCTTCCGCAGATGCTGCTCCCCCTTCCCACGCCTCATCCCTCTTCTCCCCTCCCCCTCCTCGTCCTGCTCCTCAGGCTGCTGCTTCTCCTCCTCCTCCTCCGTCTGTCGTCCTGATCCTCCACACTAGTCCCCCTTCTCCTCTGCCTCCTCCTCGTCTTCCTGAACCCGCTCCTGCTGCTGCTATTGTTCATCCTGCCTTTGCTCATCATCATCATCATCATCATCATCATCATCATCATCATCATCATCATCATCATCATCATCATCATCGTCATCATCATCACCACCACCACCATCATCACCATCATCACCATCATCACCATCATCATCATCATCATCATCATCATCATCATCACCATCACCACCACCACCATCATCATCATCATCATCATCATCACCATCACCATCATCAGCATCATCATCATCATCATCATCATCATCATCATCATCATCATCCTGCTCCTCTTGCTCCTGCCGATCCTCTTGCTGATCTGACATACACTTAAACTTCATCACCCTCCTCCTACTCCTCCCTCATGTCGCTCTTAGCGCAATAGCTGATCCAGCTCCAGATGTGATTCCTGCTGCTGCTGCCCTCCTCCACCCCAATCCTTTTTAAAAATGTTTAAACCTCTCAATCCTCCTCCTCCTCCTCCTGCTGCTGCTCCCTCTCCTCCTCCTCCTCCTCCTCCACCTCCTCCTCCTCTTATTCTTCTTCTTCTTCCTCCTCTTCTTCTTCTTCCTCCTCCTCTTATTCTTCTTCTTCTTCTTCTTCCTCCTTCTCCTCCTCATTATCATTCAACCTTCCACCATCTCTCCCTTCTTGTCCCTCCTCCTTCAAGCTCCTCCACCTCATCCTCTCCTCCTCCGCCCTCCCTCCCGCCCTCGCCTCCCTGTCCCTCTCCTCCCGGTGCCCCACCCGTCACGGCGACAGCCTCGACGCTGACGTCGACGATGGCGACCTCACAGTCAGAACGCTGAAACAAAAAGCACTTCGGGTTTGCAAGGGGCTCGCTGTCATCTAAGCTCGTCCACGGCTGTTCCTCCAGCGCCCCTCGTGCACCCAGGCGCCCCTGGGGCCCAGAAAGAGCTTCGTTGTGATCGTTTTTGTTATTCATTTCTTTGCCGATCGGCGCGGGCCCTCGCACCCCCTTTCCCCCCCCCCCGATGGAGTATGTAGATCTTGGCTGTTTCCGGCGCCTGTTTCGAGCAGGTGGAGCCTCCCCTCACAGGACGCACTGTCGCAAACAGCTGCACTGAGCAGAGGTCCAGAGCCAGACCCCCCCCCCATCCCCCCCTCTTCGCTCAATGTCAAAACGCCGAATAAGGAAACGCTCACGTTCCATACTGGGCGGCGCGCACAAGGGGGTGGATGGAGGGGGGAGGGCTTCTTAGAAGGGCGCCGGCCCAAAATCTATAGATAAGGCCCGCGCCTTCTCAGAAGCAGGGGTGCTTCTAAGAAGCCCTCCCCCCCCCTGCCCCCCCTCTGCACAAGCCTCCGGCCCACAGGGATGGGCGAAGGAAATGGAGGATGAGGAGGATGAGGAGGAGGAGGAGGAGGAGGAGGAGGAGGAGAGGAGGAGGGAGGAGGGAGAGAGGAGAAGGAGGAGGAGGAGGAGGAGGAGGGCGGAGGAGGGCGGAGGAGGAGGAGGAGGAGGAGGAGGAGGAAGAAATACCTCGCGTTCATCTTCGTCGCAGCTCGGCTGTGCGACCGCGGCGACGACCGCCGCCTGCCGCCGCCCCCTTACGGGCTGGGCGACAGGGGGGGATAGCACAGGGGGGGGTTGAGAATCAGCTCACGCAGCTGATTTTCCCAGCGCCTCCTGGCGCCGGAGGCGGCCATGTATCGAGGAATGGGCCCATCAGCGGGGCCGAAACCAGCTGCATGCAGCAGATTTCGTACCCCCCCCCCCTTCCCCATCCCGCCCTTTCCTTCGGCCCGACCCTTGACGTGCCGCCTGCCGAGCCCCCTCCCGCCAAGCGCTCACGCGAGGAGCCGGGCCGCTGCCGCGCCGCGGGCGGTGGGCGCCCCGCCGCCTGGCGGCCGGGCCCCCGGCCTGCACCGATGCTCCTGCATGCTGCACGTCCTCCTCCTCCTCCTCCTCCGTCCTCCTCCTCCTCCTCCTCCTCCTCCTCCTCCTCCTCCTCCTCCTCCTCCTCCTCCTCCTCCTCCTCCTCTCTCCCTCCCTCCCTCCCTCCCTCCCTCGCTCCCTCCCTCCCTCCCTCCCCTCCCTCCCTCCTCCTCTCCCTCCCTCCCTCCTCCTCCTCCTCCTCCCCCTCCTGGTGCTTGGGAGCCGGGCTCCTGCCTGCACCGATCCTCCTACATGCTCAACGTCATCCCGTTGAGGGAAGAAATTACAGTAGGGGCCCGACCACAAGAAACCTTCCACAAGGAACCCAACCCTGAGACCCCAGGACGTCCATTGATTTTTGTCGTGGGAACATCACGCTTTCCTTAGCAAGACCATTGAAACCCAAGAAACCCAGGGCACCCTGGAGGCGAGCAGGGTGTGCCTTGGCATGGGTCTCCACTGTAAGCAACACTCCCCCCTCCCCCGCAATTCAAACTTGGCACGTTCCTTGTTGAACACCACTCGGAGGCCCAAAATCGGTAGATCCGAAACCAACTTTGCGTTTGGGGGGAAGTGGAGGGAATTCAAGCCTTAGGTTCTGCATGAGTGTTGCTTAATTGTTTCCGACACCTGCCCCTCTCCACATGCTCTTTCTCCTCCTCCTCCTCCTCCTCCTCCTCCTCCTCCTCCTCCTCCTCCTACGAACATGCGAAATCAGGTGCAGACTGCCACGGGGTCTCGGAAGAAGACGCACACTTGTACAGGGGGCTCCAGGATTTAGTCCAAGAAGCGTGTAGGTGGTCCGCGGATCTTGAGGTTCCCATGTCAGGAGGACCTCGAGACACGACACGATTGGATCGGCACCTACGGCAAGCAGCGCTGGCCTCCTTCGGCAGCCCGACTCAGGCGGCGCTGAAGGTGAAGACCAGGCGCTGGCGGACGATTCGGGGATATTCTGACCTGGGTCAATCCAGACCCGGGTCAGTCAGGCCTTACAGCGTCCTGCAAAATCCTGCAAGATCCTGCACCCAAACCCGGGTCAATGCGAAGGATTCTGCAAGATCCTGCACCCAAACCCGGGTCAATGCGACCCTGCCCCTGCAGGATCCTGCAAAATCGGGCGCTCTGGCTGACCCCCGTTTGCATTGACCCCCGTCTCAAGGCTCCCGAACGATCACATGAAGGTTCGGGCCGGGGAGGACTTGGGTTCGGATTGGATGAACTTCTCGAGACAAGTTTTTAGAGGCAACGGGCATGCATTTTTGGACTGCCCTGTGATCGACCGCCTAGGATCCCCAATGAGCAGGATTCAATGGTGTTGTCGGTGCGGCACGTTCTTCTCGAGTTCACCTAATGCGGGGGCCAAGGGTCCGTGCAGGCCCACGACCACAAGCGTGATCAGTGACCAGTTGAGGCGAATTCGATTTGATAATTTCTTGTCTTATAAGAAGGACCTGGAAAATTGGAATCTGGGGTCCCACCAAGGCATTCACCTCGCCGAGCGCAGGATCCTGGCTCAGACGCTGAATGGCCGGGCCCCTCAAGGTGTTCCAGGTCCCCAATGCTTTGGGGTTGTGCAGGGCTTCGCCTCGCGCGACCAGGTTGGTTTTCGTCCGAAGAGGCCGACATCCCATGGGTGAAGGCTCGAGGGGAGGCAACGACCCGAGCGTCGCCTGACAAGGAAGACGAATCCGACTCGGGCGCCGATGATTTCGGCGGACATTCCGGACTGCATGGCTGTAGGCCCGTCCCCAAAAACCTCCATCTCCTCGTTCCTTCCTTCATGTCCACCTCCTCATCATCATCGTCTTCGTAATCGTAGTCGTCATCATCATCGCCATTGCCATCACCTTCACCATCACGACCATCATCATCACCACCACCATCGTCATCGTCCCACCACCGCCACAACCATCACCATCACCATCACCACCACCGTGACCATGATCACCATCATCACCATCACCATGCTCATATCCGCAACTATCAACAGCATCAGCATCATCACCCTCTCCTCCTTCTCCTCCTCCTCCTCCTCTTCCTCGTCGTCTTTGCCATCACCAAAACTATCTTCAACATGATTATCGTCGTCATCAACATCATCATCGCTAGCAGCCTCAACACCATCACCATCGTCACCATCATCACCAAACAACATCACCAACACCACCACCAGGATCATCATCATTATCACCATCATCATCACCATCATCATCCGCATCGCCATTATGAACGATATAGTCATGACCATCACCATCATCAGCATCACGACCATCATCGTCATCGTCATCCACATCACCATCATCACCCGCGTCGTCATCATCCTGAACATTGCCACCTTTATCGTCATCGCGATCATCATCATAGTTCCTTGAAGGCCAAACCAAAGAACGATGGATAATATCCGTCTTATCACCTTGCAGCACAAACGGCTCTTCGCAGAAGGCCTGAATCATCTTAGGTTCGCTCGACGCGCGTGCCAACCAGGGTACTTCGCGAAGCAAAGGGCTAAACGGGCGACTGTTCAATCGCGAAAACAACTCTGCTGCGGCCGCTTCGCCGGCCCCGAGAGTATCTGGGTCAGTGGGCTTCGGGCTGGGCGCGCCAATGACACGCGCCGGCGTATCAGCGCCCGTGCCCGAGCCGGGGGGTGGGGGGCGGGAGCTGGCAACGAGCCTGGTAGTATACATCCAATCATGAACTGTACTGCTCGCTGGATAGGCTGATGATGTGGCTGGCGTTCCGATCGAACGTAGATCCCGTCCGAGATCGTCTCCAGCCAATGGCCGACTTCGCCCTCGAGCCATCCCGCTGGAGCCACTCCCTTGCGATGCACTGCGATATCATCGTTCTTGCGGGCCCTCTGGATGAGCCCGCGGCCTTCCCAGGAAGGCGCGCCCACGATGGCATTTTATCTTCTGCGCGTCGTAGCACTTCTCCAGCCCGATGAGAAACTCTTTTCCCACTCGAGGTCACCCCTGTCCACTTCTGGGCCAGTGAGTCCGTCTTCGGGCCGGCACTTCTCGACGCGTGCTTCAGCTCGCGCTTGGCTGCGCCCCCGAGGTTGCACTGCTGCAGGCCCCCCAAGGCCGCGAGGCGCATGCTCGCCGCGGGGGGAGGGGGGGGGCGATCTCCTTCATCCTCTGCTTGCCCTCGGACCACGGGGAGCACGGCTTGTCGAGCGTCGCGCCGTTGCCCTCCAGCTCGTCACTGATCTTCGTGGCCATGGGGTGCGTGGGTGGCACGGTGACGGCATCAATGCATGCTGACCTAGCCATGCGACTCCTGTGCGCCGCCGTCCGGGGGGCCAGCTCCAGTGCTGCCTGGAATGGTGCCATCATATGATTGCCCATTCTGCTCCATGTCTTGGCTGGGTGCTCTCCTCTGCGTGCCCGTCGCCCCTAGTCGTCGTCGATTGTTCAGCTTCCGCGGGCGGGCGCCGTCGAGCTGGTCGAACTCATCGCGGTCGCGGCGGGCGTGGCCCGAATGCCGCGAAGAGCCTGTCGGCGGCTCTTCGGAGCGCTCTCCGAGAGCCGTGGGCGTCTTCCATGACATACCGGCGGCGCGCTGCAGGTGGCGCGGGCGCTTGGCCCTCGCTGGGCTCCGGAGGGGGGGCGGGGGGGGGGGGCTGAGCCCTCTCCGCCCGAGGCCTGCTCGAGCAGGGGCCCGATGGCGACGGAGGAAGGCCGGCGAGGCGATGTCGCCGTAGTTTAGCAGGGCCATGACATTCGCGCAGGCATGCGAATGGACACGCAGTGGCTGGTGAAGATTTCCACGTGCATGCATGATGTGTAAGTTCCGCAATGCCCCCACCGAGCCGCCAAGAAGGCCGCGCGCGTTGCAACGCATGTTCAGTTGGGGAATGTTGTTTCGCATGTCATGCTGCAGCGTGGCATGTAACTGTGGTTGCCCAGGTCCGTCGGCTCTGCTCGTCATATGATGCGCGGCAAGCTGCCCAGCGGCGTTGAAGCGCTGGCCACCTCCGGAGGGTCTGGCGACGTCGGAAGGGCCTTGGGCACCCCCCAGCACTGTCGGCATCCGCAAGCACCGCTTGGGAAGGCGGAGCCTCGCAGATCTCGCGGGGGGGGCGCTGGCGCGCCCAGAAACTGGCTCGCAGCGCTCAAACGCCGCGCGCGACGAAGGCTTCTCGAATCCGTTCGTCGCCCCGCAACTCCCCCGCCGTCAGCGGGCACCGCAACTCGCGCGGGGCCTCGCCCGCGGGGCGGGAAAGGAGGCTCTCGAGGTCGGCAGAAAGCTGGCGCGCCCACGTCTGAGCGAGCGAATCAGTCTCGCCCTGCTCGTTGAGGGCGGAGGCTGAGACGGGGCGGTTGCTCTTCGCCGCCCGCGGCTCGAAGGCGCGCCTGCCGGGACAAACCGCGAGAAACAGGCCAAAGCTGGTGATGTCGTTTGCCTTGCTCTGCGCGCTCTGTCACTGGCTCAGTCATCGCACGAGCAGTTCGACCGCTGCCGGGGCTATCTGCGATTCTCGAAAAACGTCGCGCGTAGTCATCGACATGCGCTGTCCCCCGGAATCTCCCTGATAGGCTGCTCCCATCAGAGTAGCTCGGATTTCCTTGGCCGGCGTGCAATCTAGACGATGTACCTCTGGTGGTCGGAGCGCGTGCCTCTCGAGGCCAGGCAGTGCTCTGCCCGCGAAAATTAGGTAGGAACGAGAATCTCTCAAGTTATCCCAGGGCCCCGTGGAGAACCAGTAGTCACCCAATCGAGTCAAGCCTGCATTTCCCGATGCAATGCACTCATGCATTTGCGCTGCGGGTGCGCAGCAACGCGCGTGCACCCCCCGAGACTGATCAGCTTCTGAACGGCTTTCCACGAGATGCGTTTCTCAGTTTCGTTCGCGGCCGTTCTGCTCGCTAAGATCGCGAGGGCACCCTGCCCAGTGTTCGGGGCGCGCCCCCCGCGACGTGGAGCTCGGCTTTAGGGCGCATTGTCGATCTCACCTAG